ACCTTTTAAAACAGATAAGTCTTTATGAGAAAACTTTTTAGATAGAAAGCATAATTTAATACATTTAAGAATTATTGTTTTTGTAAGATATCGCATTCTAAAAAACATGTATTTTAAAAAGGTTTGGAATTTTACTGATTCTTAAAGATAAAAATGTTAAATAAGAAAAAAAAAATTAATAATAATTATACAATAAGAGATAGAACATCTTACTAGTTGAGTAAGAACTGTTGTTTTTTCTTCATTGTTAGACACTTTAAGGCCATTATACTGAGCTATTTTTAAAAATTCTGGTCTTTTAGCAATATATGCCACAGCTTCATAATCTGACTCAAATAAGATTGTCTTGCGGTTATTAGGTTGAATTCGAAAGGGCTGTGATCAATTTTGTGAATGAAAATATCATAAAAAAGAGTAGCGTAAATGAGAATGTTATAAAGAAGAGTGGCATGAACAAGAACATCATAAAGGAGAGTGTCGTGAGTGAGAACACTATCATGAATAAAAATGTCATAAGGAAGAGTATCATGAGTGAGAATGCTGTCATGAACGAGAACATCGTAAAGAAGAGTGTTGTGAATGTAAATATTGTAAAGAAGAATGTTGTGAATGTGAATGTTGTAAAGAAGAATATCGTAAATGTGAATGTTGTAAAGAAGAATATCATGAATGAGAACGAGAATGTCTTGACAAAGAATCTCTTGATTGAGAGGGTGGTGATCGAGAACAAGAACATCTTAACCGAGAATCTCTTGATTGAGAGAGCTGTAATCGAGATTGAAAACCCACTGATCAAGAATGACTGCGTCATATTCGGAATACTTTATTAGCATCATTATAATTAAAGCTTTTAACAGGATCATGACTCTTGTCAATCTTGTTCTGATCATTATAGGTTTTTTTATTTTTAATTAAAGCTGTATTGTTTTTATCTAAGGATATAAGTGCTTTTTTGTCTGCAGATATGGTCTCTTTCTTAGAGGCTTTTTTAGAAAGCATTGAAAATAATTTTTGCAAATGCCATATTAGTTATAAAAGAATAAATACACTAACAACATATAGCTATTTATAAGCAAATTAGCGCTTTTTCAAATTTCATACATGATAAATAATCTTTTATTACTGTATTATTCTAATGTTTAATAATAGTAAGTATACTATTCATTTGGACAGGAAAGGTGCAAACTAGCGTTACAAGAAAATAACTATCGATACATAGCAATTATTTTTTATAATTCACATGCAATAAATTTAAGCTAT